CCTGGTTTAGACCTGGTTCAGTTCTGTTCAGTTCTTTTTAGTCCTGGTTCAGTCCTGTGTTAGTCCAGTCCAGTTTTAGTTTAGTTAAACACAAAACTGAAAACTAAAAAAACAAATAATTAATTATCAGTTTTTTTCATTTTGGTTTTGGAGACAAATAACGAAGAAAATAGTTGCTGTTTTCGTTTTCTTATTTTTGGTTTTATATTGAATACACGAATTTAAACCTTTCACTCTCCCCAGACGTTTCCTCTAAAAGTTACACAGTGCTGCTTTATTTCTTGTGGACTGGTATGGGGCTCTTCGATTACATTCAATTCAAAAACGATTTCATTTGGATCATTAATTTCGTCAACCAAAAAACATTACGTCGCCCAAAATCTACGTCGAAACCCACAGTCCGAGTTTAGTCCTGATTTACGTCGGATCTTCTGTCACTGGCGCCGGGGGCCTCCACGCCTCCCCTCCACATTGTTCGTTCACGTTTAAAGTCCATGATTTCTTTTTGTTCTTTTGCAGTTGGCGGTGTTCTACGGTCCATTCCAGCGCTGGAGTCACGTTCCGGTGTGATTCCAAAAAGTTCGTTAGCGGCGATTGGAGACAGCAGGGCAGTCCAGTGGCCATAGTCAACCCCATCCCACCCCCTCACCCACCACCTGACCCCGCCCACCCCCCCGCCCCCGCAGCAGAGCCTCTTTTCCACGTCGGGACCGGTTTCGTAGGTTCGTCTTCGTCGTCCGATGGATCTACGCATGCTATGGAGACTCAATAAGTGCTCTGCTCCACCGTAATTTTGAGGAGTATATGAAAATATTTTGAGAGTGAGCGTATACCACTTTGCAAAAAATAAAAATAAATCATCCCGAAAGCTCAAAATGCTCTTTTCCACTTTGTAACGTCATGTCGTTTTACAAGTTGACAGCTCGGTTTATCAGAGTCTGACGATTCTGAAATGATCAAAATAAGTTTAACGAAGATGTGTGGAGTTTAAAAACACAGTGGAGCACTTCCTGTATCACCACATGACATCACAAAGTGGAACAGAGTGTTTTTTTTTTTTTTTGTTTGAGAGAAGAACTAAATCTGCAGGGTTTGTGATTTTAACAGGTGCGAATGAAACAAAACACAACTCCAGGCATGTTTGTGATGAGGAAACAACAGCGTTACAATATAATATATAGATCAGAACATAGTGTAGTGCGGCCTCTTTAAAGTGCACTATGTAACTTTTCCAGCTGCTCGTCTCCATGGAGATGGTAGGGCCTTGTCTGTGTTCGTCAGTATGGCGTCGAAATGCGATCTCAAGTTGGAACAATTTGTCTTTGAAGCTTAAAACAAGTTGATGCGACTCAAATTTTGCCAAAAATTTCAGCATTTACACCCCCGGCACTTGTGGTGGCGCTATAGAGCAGCCAGATAAAGGATTTTAAGGCTCATTTCTTGTGTTGTCATGCTGCTGACAGACTAAAGCGTATTTATTTTTTCCGTTCTTAATTGAAATCCAAATGAACGAATGGTACACGGACCATAATTTTGCAACAATTTCACATTTTGCGATTTGGGATTAATCGTTTTCATACCGTTCCACAACTGGTCGAAAAAAAGGGTAGTCAAAGAATGAATGTTACTTTATAGGCACCATTTTGAGGACTTTTCAAAATTGTCAATTGCTACGGCGATGGTTCTAAATCGTCGTTCTGAAACTCGAATAAGCGGCGAAATAAATCTCTTTAATTTGCCTTCATTTGTGTCTTAAATATTACAATCAGTTTCGTTTTTGATTAAAGCCGCAGTGCGTAACTTTCCCGGTAACGCGTCGCTCTGCGGTTGGCCTGAAATGTTCCGCAGTGTGGCATTAAACGTCCACCGTAGGCCAAACTAATATCTATGGCTAAACTGAATAAACGCAAGATTGTTCATTGATTTTTACGGTTTTAAGATCCGTCCTCGCTTTCCTTGCGTCCTGATTATTCGCCGTAACAACTAGTATGCTAACAGCTCACTTCCTGATCAGTGTACGATTTCGCTTTGACCTAAAGAGCCGCTTAGACGATTTATCGGTACGTTAAATTTGGACAAAAATTGGGTACAGTCTCTTTAAATTTACCTTTGAAGGTTAAAACATGTTTGAATCGACTAAAATTTTGCCACAATTTCAGCGTTTGCGGCCGTGGAACTCGTGGTGGCGCTATAGAGCAGCCAGATAAACGATTTTCATGTTCATTTCTTGTGTTGTAAAGCTGCTGATAAACTAAAAACTCATTTCTGCTCCTCTTTTGTACATAAACAGATTGGCGTCAGAAACCATCATCGCTTCAATGCTTCTCAAAGTTTCTGTTGTCAAGGCTGAGTTTTCTCGGACCACCACCACCAGAGGGCGCGCAAGTCTGAAAGAAGAAAGTTTTTAGTTCACATTTTTGATCCCACATTTGATCCAGTGCCTTTTACGCTTGAACAAACACGCCGCTGGAGTGTGGGACTAGACTAAACGTGCGTCTACAGCATTGTGTCCCAAAGACGGGGCCGCAAGGGATTATTTTTTATTTTTTGTTGGGTCGCCTTGTCACGTTCTTACAGTTCTTACGGTTGTAAACATGGATCTGTGACCTTATCGTCATTCTTGATCAGCATCTTCTGTCCTCAGTAGAGCCAGTGTCTCTCTGCTTATTCCTTGCACTACTACATTTTTGTGTGAATTGGGATTTTCTGTGCTCACAAAAATTAAACCAAAGCACAAAAACAGACTGAACACTGCTCCTGATCTGCTGCTGCGTCTCCTCCTGCACCCGGATTAGAAATGTTCAAATGTTAAGACATGTTTTGTATAATTTCTAATCTTTTTGGAATTATTTTTTTGATTATTTTGTTCTAATATTGCCGGTTCAATTCAATGTTGAAAAGAAAAAGAAATGGGCTACGTTTAAAGTCCAAATAGGCGACTTCAGTGACTGTTTTTCGATGTTTAAATCTTGAGTAATACTAATTGTTCAGAGAGACACGATCACTCAAATCCACCTTTATTTTGTGATTTACGAATAATGTCTATTGACTTGGGTCGTGAAGGTTTGTGACTTTTAAAATATGGGTCTCCAGATAAAAAAAACTTTGGCAAACACTGATTTATACGCTTGAACAAACACGCTTTTGTCTTTTTTTTTTTTTCTTGTTCCAATATTGCTGGTTCTACTGAACGTTGAAAAGCATTTAATGCATTTAAAGTCCAAATATGCGACTTATGGATGCTTTTATTGTTGCATCAATGACAGTTTTTCAATGTTTAAAACTTGAGTAATACAAATTGTTCAGACAGACACGATCACTCAAATTCAACGTTATTTTGTGATTTACGAATAATGTCTATTGATTTGGGTCGTGAAGGTTTGTGACTTTTAGAATATGGGTTCCCAGAAAAAAAAAAAAACAAAAAAAACTTTGGAAAACACTGATTTATACACTTGAACAAACACACTTTTGTGATTATTTATTTATTTTTTATTTTTTTCGAATGAATTTAAAGTCCAAATAGGAGACTTATGGATCTTTTTATTGCTGCTTCAATTCGTTTAAAACTTGAGTAATACTGATTGTTCAGAGAGACACGATCAAATATCATATCTTTTTTTTTTACTATATTATTCCAGTATTGTTGGTTCAATTGAATGTTGAAAAGAAAAAGAAATGTTCTATATTTAATGTCCAAAAAGGCGACTTGTGGATCCTTTATTGCTGCTTCAATTTTTGTTTTTTTATAGTTTATAACTTGAGTGATACAAATTGTTCAGAGAGACAAGATCATATATCCTCATTAATGTTGAATAATGCTCAAATCCAACTTTATTTTGTGATTTATGAATAATGTCTATTGACTTGGGTCGCGAAGGTTTGTGACTTTTAAAATATGGGTACGCCTGAACAAACACGCTTTTATCATTTATCTTTTTTTTTTTGACTATTTTGTTCCAGTATTGCTGGTTCAATTGAATGTTGAAAAGAAAAAGAAATGTTCTACCTTTAAAGTCCAAATAGGAGACTTGTGGATCCTTTTTTTGCTGCTTAAATTTTTGTTTTTCATCATTTAAAACTTGAGTAATGCTAATTATTCAGAGAGACACGATCAAATATCATCATTAACGTTCAGTGATGGTTAAATCCACCGTTACTTTGTGATTTACGAATGTCTATCGACTTGGGTCGCGAAGGTTTTGGACTTTTAAAATATGGGTCCTCAGAAATAAAGTCTGAGAAAACAAACAGCTGCTGAAGTTTTGGACCAGATTAAACGTGCGTCTACGGAGACTTCTGAGTTGAAATTCTTGTTTCAGAGCCATAAAATCATCTTGAATCTAATAAATCAAGTTAGTTTACAAGATAAAAGCCATACTGTGGAACATTCCAGACAAAATAATAACATTCTCAATGGAGACAAGAAGGCAGTGGACCCTAAAAAAGGTTTATAGTTCACCTTAAAAAGACTTGAATTCTCAATATTGATCATGATAATTTCCCATCTATATATTACAAGGGTCCAAGTAAATATGTCTGGGCTTCCCCCTCCCCAGACACTTCCTCCAGTCCCTTTTCCAGGCCACAAAAAGACGCCCCCCTCAAAGAGTCCAGGGGGGGTTCCTCAAGGCCTCGTCTTGTCACCTTACGTCTTTTCCTTTACGCCATCACGTCGAGATGTCGTAGACTTGTTTGCGGCGAAACTTCGTCGCTGAGTAGTTTCTCTTAACTTTCAAGTGCAGTTCTTTTACCCCGACCGTTTCGTCTACGTAAAACAAGAACAAAAAAAACGACACAAACCAGTCTGAGATCCCCTTAAATAAATAACTTAACAAGGAGGTAAGTGGTCCAAACACGGATTAAGATTCAGAATCCAAGTCACTTTTGCTTTTATGATATGTTTTTAACCCGATTTGAACTGCGCCCGAGTGGAAAAGAGGCCCCTCCGACCCACGTTTTTAACCCCGCACCACCCCCACCCGCCCCAGACCTTTACATTACATCTGCTTGTGGCTCTTATCGCAGCAATCGTCGCTCCCTGACGCCTGTGCACCGGCCGCTCCCTGACCTCCTCCACCCGCTCCCACCGCCGCCACCGTTCCTCCTCCTCCTCCTCCCCCGCGGTGGACCCCCCAGCCGTCGCCGTCGCCGCCCCTCCTCCACCCCTCCCTCCTCCGCCTCCTCCCCCGCCGCCGCTTCCACCTCCTCCACCGCCGCTGCTGCCCTCCCTCAGCTCCTTCTCGCGGCGCTCCCTCTCCACCGCCTCCTGTTCGCTCTTGCTGCTGGGGAACTTGTCCTTGTTGTTCTCCTTCTTCCACTTCATGCGCCGGTTCTGGAACCAGATCTTGACCTGGCGCTCGGTGAGGGCGAGAGCGTGGGACACCTCGATGCGGCGTTTGCGGGTCAGGTACGGGTTGAAGAGGAACTCCTTCTCCAGCTCCAGCGTCTGGTAGCGGCTGTACGTCTGCCGGCCCCGCCTCCGGCCCGCCGCTACTGGGTGTGGGGGGAGACACAGGGACGGGGAAAGAAAAAAAAAGAAAGAAAGAAGGGAAAGAAAGGGGAAGGGGGGGGGGGCACATCAGAAACACATCGTTAGACAAGAGAGTTCTGGCCGTGTTGGCGTTTTGTGATCAGCAGTCCTGCCACACATCTGCACATGTGGAAGTTGTAGAAACGAAAGCCCGGTCAGATAAAAACCTCATGTTCAACCAGCGCACTTTTCAAAACAATATCGGTATTTTGAGCAATAAAACAGAGCTGTCGAAACTAAGGCTACGTTCACACTGCAGCTTAAAGTGACCCAAATCCGATTTTTTGGCCCCTATGTTCCTGTATCTGATCTTTTAATGACAGTCTGAACCACACAAATCTGATGTTTTCAAATGCTTGGATATGTGCTCCTGAAACCGATACATATCCGATCCTTTGACATGTGACTTCAGTGTGAACGGTCAGGTCACATTCATCCGACCTACACGTTATCAACAAGCCACAAACGTCACTATTCTGCGCTGAAGTAGGCGAAAATTGTTAATGAACTCTGTGTCAGTGAAGTGAAGCACATCTCCACTCACCACTCTTGGCTCCGTCTCCACATCCACACGTTCCTTTCAACGGACTTAACCACAAAACGCTACCGCCAAAAACCTCGTCCTTCTCCTTCTCAATCTCCTCCTTAAAACAAGTAAGTTGTTCATGTTCTGGCTCCGGTACGAGAGGAACTTTAAAATCTCCAGGTGCTCGATGCTGCGTCCATGTTTGGACAACTTCTGTAAACACAGAGACGCTCGCTGCGGTTGACGTCGTCGTGTCTCCAGTGCACATGCGGGACACTTTTGGGCCTTTTAATGTTCACACAGGGGATCACATACAAGTCGCATTTAATTGGAAATGTGAACGACCTCGCAAAAACATCGGATTTCACATAAAAATCAGAATTGAGCGTTAAGCCCTGCAGTCTGAACGTAGCCTACGAGATGTAGAGATGTGACAATAACCGAAATATCGTGATATTGTGTCGTCAAAAGTTCTCACAATAACATCGCGGATCATCATAATATATCAAATTACAAGTCTCTTTGCTTAAATGAAGAGTTATGGTGCAGCAATAGATAAAAAATGACAGAGAACTACATAGACCATGATCCTTTGCTCCATTTCAGTGCAGACGACAAGAAGAAATACTAGTTCGAAGCACTTTTAAGTTCTTTGGATTAAGTCTTGTCGAGGCATTTTAAGAGGAAAAAGAAGTATATAAACCTCCACAAAATATCGCAATAAATATTGTACCGTGAGATGTAGATCATGAAAATATCGTACATGAAAATAATATCGAAATGAAAAAAAATAAAAAAAACCAAAATGAAAAAATGGAAAACGATTTGTTTTTTAAGTTTTCGATTTTGTGTTTAAATGAAAAATGGAAAAAACAGATAAAGGACTAAACCAGGACTAAAACAGGTCCGGGACCAGACCAGAACTGAGACCAGGACTGAGACTGGAAAGAGGACCAGGATTGAGACTGGGACTGAGACCGGGACCAGACCAGGACCAGACCGGGACCAGACCAGGACCGGGACTGAGACTGAGACCAGACCAGAACTGAGACCGGGACTGAGACTGAGACCAGACCAGAACTGAGACCAGGACTGAGACCTTAAACAGGACGAGGACTGAAACCGGGACTGAGACTGGGACCAGACCGTGACTGAGACCGGAACCAGACCAGAACTGAGAGCAGGACTGAGACTGGGAACTGGACCAGGACTGAGACCGTAAACAGGACTAGGACTGAGACCAGGACGGAGACTGGGACCAGACCGCGACTTAGGCCGGAACCAGACCAGAACTGAGACCAGGACTGAGACCGGAAACAGGACCAGGACTGAGACTTGGAGTGAGACCGGGACCAGACCAGGACTGAAAATGATTTAGTCCCTGTTTTAGTCCTGTTTTAGTCTTGGTTCAGTTCTGGTTCAGTCCGGCATTGCAGTTTAAGTCACGGAAACGAGAAACGGTCGTTATCCGCTTTTTCCAACTGAAACAAAACTAAAAAAAAAAAAAAAACAATCATTATCTGTTTTTTCATTTTGGTTTTGGAGACAAATCATGAAGAAAATTGTTGTTTTTTCATTTTCTTATTTTTGATTTTATATTGAAAAACAAATGAACGAACGACACACGGATTCGTATCGCGAAACTTGGATTTCGTTCCACCCTGCCGGCTCACGCTTCACACATGTAAAACTCCTGCATCAGTCTGAACGACGGATAAAAGTGGAACATCATGGCGTATCAGTCTGAATCCGGCTGAAGCACAGACATGTTCCCCGTCCGCAAACGCACAAAGCTCCTCTCTGCAGGTCTGCACAAAGTAAACAGTCTGTATTTGTGTTAAAATAGGCTGAGGTACGTCTGTTTGTCGCGGCTTGTTTTCGCTTCCCCTCAAGCTCGCGCCGTGATTGGCCGAACCTCCCCGAGAGCCCCGCGCGCCGTCGTGACGGGCAGGAGATTTGCCCGACGGATCCTCGGGTCTTTTATAAAATCACAAATCTCGTGAGAGTTCATGCCGTCGGACGATTGTTGTTTGCCCTCGGGCGTCCTCTCGAATGGACCGAATGATTAGTGGCAGAAACTTGTAGCATGAACACATAAATAACATACATTGTGAGGTGACAGATAGAATCCTCGTACAGGTGTGGTGGCTCAGACCGACGTCAAATCCGGCATTGTGAATGATTCATGTTGTCCTCGGTGGCTCTCCTCTTGATGCATGTTTACTATACAGGCCTGTGTGTGTGTGAACCGCCCTGATCTCCAAACTACAGCTGGTGTTTTGTTACAAGAATCACACAGACGCAGGCCTACACCTACACAGTCACAACACAACAAGAGCCGCGACCGGTTCACCTCTAAGAAACGCCTCGCCGCAAACAACCAAATCTGCTCGAGTTAAGACGACGAATTAAGAGCGTTTGATCACGATTTCACTTGACGAGTAAAATGGAACAAGACTTTTTGTAGTTCAAATATGGAAACACATCTTACTAAGCTTTAAAAAAAGAAAAACAACAACTTTTTGCACTTAAAATAAACAAAATCTACGGTTGCTTGTTGCTTTTTTTTTTTTTTCCCAGTGCAGAGTCGGTTTGTCAAAAGAAAATCAGAATCGATTCCAAAACCAAACCAAAACGTTTGAAGAAAATCTTACAGAAAAATAATCTTACAGCTTTATTAAAACTCTGATAAAACCGTAAGGTAATGATTATTTTGCGCTGAAAATTTTATTATACTGTCTAAAAAATGAGCATTATCATCATTCACTGTAAAGAACTAAATCTAGTCAAGTTAAGATGATGAATTAAGAACGTTTGATCGTGATTTCACTTGACGAGTAAAATGGAACAAGACTTTTTGTAGTTAAAATATGAAAATAAATTATACTACACTTAAAAAAAAAAGAAAAACAACAACTTTTTGAGCTTAAAATAAAAAACTAAATCAAATGTTAAACGTTCTTAATTTAAGTCATTTTAACTTACCTAGATATTTTTTTTTTTTGTTTGTTTGTTTTTTCTCAGTGCAGAGTCTGTTTGTCAAAAGAAAATCAGACACTAATCGATTCTAAACCCCCCCAAAAAAACATTTAAAAATGTGTCAATACTAAAAAAATAATCTTACAGCTTTATTAAAACTGGATAAAACTATAAGGTAATGATTACTGTGTGTTGAAAATTCCATTATATTGTCTATAAAATGAGAATTATTATCATTCACTACAAAAAACTAAATCTAGTCAAGTTAATATGACTTGAATTAAGAAAGTTTTATCACAGTTTGAGTCAATTTCACTTAAAAAGTAAAAAGATCTGCCAGTGGAACAAGACTTTTTGTAGGGAAAATATGAAAATACATCTTGCTACACTTAAAATAAGAAAAACAACAACTTTTTGAGCTTAAAATAAGAAACTAAATCGACATGTTGCTTGAATTAAGAAAAAAAAACACACTTATTCCATTGGTTGATAATTTTACTTGTCAAGTTGAATCGACTCAAATAAATTAAAATGTTCTGATTTTAAATCAGTTTAATTTACCAAGATATTGTTTTTTTCCAGTGCTGTAAACAGACGACACACAGAGACTAGTTGTATAACTTCTGTTAAATAATAACAGTAATAATACTTCAATAAATAAGAGTATTTGTCCTGTTAAAAGTGTGTCAGATGTACTCGTACGGTGGAACATTTTCATTTTGCCTTCCTTTAGATCAGCAATGTCCAAACTATGGCCTGTGGGCCAAATGCGGCCCTCGGACAAATGTTATTTTGGCCCTCAGGCTTCCAGGTGAATTGGCCCAAATGACCTTGCATCAATTAAAAATGTAGGAGAAAATTCAGTTTGTCGACTGGACAAACGTTTGTTTGGTTGAAGACGTTTCGCAGCTCATCCAAACTAACTTTTGTCCAGTCGACAAACTGAATTTTCTCCTACGTGGATTGTACCTGGACGATGAGGGATTCTTCACACATCAATTAAAAATGAACTTTTTACTGCACGTTTTTGAAAATCTACCTTGATAAATCTCATATTTAATATTTAGTGTGTGGTTTTAACGATCTTAGCATGAATAAAGACTGATGGCTCATTTATTTTAACATGTTTAAACCTGCACATATTTCAGTTATTCACAGTACTGAGCTCCAGTCTATGGCCGACCTGGTTTACATCATTACTGCATTTTCCAAAAAATATATAGATTGAGATCAGTGAACTGAAGGACTCAGACTGTGAACATGACTCAGAAACACAAATACTGTACGCAAAATACATGCTATAGTACACAGTATACATGTGCAGTACACAGTATACATGTGCAGTACACAGTATACATGTGCAGTACACAGTATACATGTGCAGTACACAGTATAAAAGTGCAGTATGAAGTATAAAACTACAGTATACAGGATAAAACTACAGTATACAGTATAAAA